GAGTTTAAGCCCCTGGGTCCAGGACTCAAACCGCGGTCGACCACGTGGGAGTCCAGGGACATAGCCATTACACTAACTGTTGGTCCCTTGGTTTTTGTTTTTTCACAAAGCTTTAGGAAACTCACATTGCTGAGACTTCACAAAGATAAAATTAGCCATCCGGGTCCCTCTTCTGATTGTTTCCATCTTATTTGTTGACTCAGTCTCCTATTCCCTCTTCTTCAAATTGACCTCACTCTCACATGCCCCCTTCCCCGTTCAGATGTGTATTCATATACCTCTCCACCGTGCTTCCTTGCTCTTTGACTCTTTCAAATAGGTTCTATTTATTAAGGGTACACTTGAGCTCTACTTCCTCTGGAGAACCAATTATGACAACTGTTTTGGATTAAACTGTGCCCCTTCAATCATATGTTGACACCCTAACTCCTAGTAAATCAAAATGTGACTGTATTTGTAGGAGATGAGGCTTTTCAAGAGGTGGTTAAAATAAAAGGGGGTCATTATGCTGTGCCCTAATACAATCTTACTGGTGTCTTTATAAGGAGCAGAAGTTAGGACACATGAGAAGACACTAGGGACACACATATATAGAAGAATGACCATGTGAGGAGGCAAGAGAGTGTCCAACTGCAAGCCAAGGAAAGAAGCCTTGGGGAAACTAACCCTTCTAGCACCTTGATCTCTTGGACTTCCAGTCTCCAGAACTGTAGAAGATACATTTCTGTTAGTTAAGCTACACCATTGGTGGGTATTTTATGATAGTATCCCTAGCAAATTAATATTGATTTTGGCACTTGAAGTGGGATACTGCTATAACCAATACCTAAAAATGTGTAAGTGGCTTTGAAATTGGGTAATGGGAAGAGGCTAGAAGAGTTTGAGGTGCATGTTAGATTGCTTTGAAGATACTATTGGTAGACTTGTCTATCAATGATTCTGATGAGATCTCAAATGGAAATGAAACATGTTATTGGAACTATAGGAAAGGCAGTTCTTGTAATAAAGTGATTGAAAAAAAGGCTGAACTGTGTTCTAGTGATTTATAGAAGGTAGAATTTGTGTAAAGTTAGCAGAGATCTCTAAGTTTTGAAGATGTTTGTTTCTCTTTAGTAAAATGGAGAGAAGTCAATTAAAGAAGGAATTAAGCAGAAAGGAACCAAAATTTGAAGATTTGAAACCTTTTTGACCTATATATATTGTACAAAAAGAGAGAGAGAGAAAGAGAGAAAATGGGTCCAGCAGGTGGCATAATGATTTAAGGTGTTAGACTCCCACATGGCCAACCATGGTTTGAGTCCCAACCCAGTGGCTTGAAAATCATACCAGGCACATGTGCACATGTGCCCAAAATTCCAAGAGGAGAATGAAGGAGAAGGGACTGTGGTATGGCCATCCTCCCTAGGGGGTGATCTTTCACTTTTCTCTCTCTCTCTCTCTCTCTCTGCAGGGGCCCTATGGAAAAAACCTTGAGAGAGAGAGAGAGACTATGTTTGTGAGTAAATAACAAAGATATGCCTAGATAATCATATGACAAAGAGATTATGGGTGTAAATATGGATCCAATCAACCAAACTCAGCAGAAATGCTCCCATATTGGACTAGAAAGGACAGACATGGGAGGAAATGAAGGAAAGTCATCAGACTTCTGGCATTCTACAAGACAGGCCAATAGAGTTATCCAGTTGCAAACAATATGGTGTGTTTCTCCTATGTCCAAGATTCATGGGTTCGAGAGTTACGGGGGTGGAAATCAGAGTAGCATCACCAATGATTACCCACTAGCTTCCTGTCTCTGTGATCTTATGGTCTCCTGGCTTAGAGATCTTAGTTCCAAAGGGTAAAATGCCTTCCAGCAGCAGACACAACTATGATTCCTCTGCACTGAAAGTTAAAACTGCCACCTGGTCACCTCGGGCTTCTCATCCCTCTACATCAATTGGCATAGAAGGGAGTTAGTGGGGTGATTGATCCTGATTACTAAGGAAAAACTGAACTGCTACTCCAGGTAAAGAAGAGTATGTGTAGAGTACAGAAGATCTCCTAGGGCATCTCAGTACACTATGACCTCTTACTAAAGCCAATAGAAAACCATAACATCCATTCCAGTAGGACTACTAATGCCCCAGACCTATCAGAAACGAAGGTTTGGGTCACACTGTCAAGTCAAGAATCACAACCCAGTGAAGCCCTTGCTGAAGGCAAAGGGACTATAAAACACAGAGTGAAGGAAGGTAGTTATACCAGCTGTGACCACATGCACAGTTAACAGCAGTGAGAATTGACTCAATCATAAAAAGTCTTCCTAATTTTGTTAAGAATATGTTTTTAAGTATTATATATCTTTATTTTATTTCCTCTTTTATTCCTTCATAACAAATAACATGAGCAATATTAACTTTATATCATGATACTTAAGCCTTTCTAACTTTACATAATAGCATTTCAGTTATGGGAGATCAGGGTAAGAGTAAATATCACCCAAGGACTTTATATTCGCTTCTGGGGAAAGGGTTAATGCATTTTCAGTCATACACAGGATAGTTCTACCATTAAGACAGAAGTTTGACTTGTTATTGTCTGCTTGGAAATTAGATATGGTTTAGGAGGTACAGATGAGTGACACACTGATAAGAGGTAGACTTGTGACCATTAAATTTAAGTATCAACTCTGCTAGGTCACAGTGCCTAGTTTTGGTCAAGCATGGCATTCAGGATGTTTCTGTGAAGGTGTTTATTTGTTGGATGAGGTTAACATTTAAGGTGGTGGGCACTAGGTAAAGTGAATTACCCTCCATAATGTGGTCAGACCTCATGTGATCAGTTGAAGCCTAAGGCTCCTTTGTACAAGAAAAAATTCTGCCAACAGATTGCCTTTGGACTCAAACTGACTCTTCCCTGAGTCTCCAGTTTGTTCACCTACCCCCAACAGACTGTAGATTCACCAAATCTCTACAATCACATTATTCAACTCTTCAAATGTCAATCTCTTTCTTTCTACTTTTCTTTTAGATAAGCAGAGAGATACAGATGTCTATGTGTACATATGTATGCATATATAGACATGTAAGTATCGAATGTGTATACATGTAAACTCCCTCACATCCTGCTGGCTAGGTCTCTCTGGAGACTCTAATATTACAACTTTAACTCATATGTGTTCCTCCCCTTCTGGACTTTACATACATATAAATAAAAGTATGTATATGTAATCTTGTTATTGTTCTTAAGTTGTGCCACATTTAAGTCTTTTCTTCCTAACTAGAGAATAATTTTCTCAAGGACCAGGATCACAGTTCAAAAAGAGTATGTGTAGAGTACAGAAGATCTCCTAGGGCATCTCAGTACACTATGACCTCTTACTAAAGCCAATAGAAAACCATAACATCCATTCCAGTAGGACTACTAATGCCCCAGACCTATCAGAAACGAAGGTTTGGGTCACACTGTCAAGTCAAGAATCACAACCCAGTGAAGCCCTTGCTGAAGGCAAAGGGACTATAAAACACAGAGTGAAGGAAGGTAGTTATACCAGCTGTGACCACATGCACAGTTAACAGCAGTGAGAATTGACTCAATCATAAAAAGTCTTCCTAATTTTGTTAAGAATATGTTTTTAAGTATTATATATCTTTATTTTATTTCCTCTTTTATTCCTTCATAACAAATAACATGAGCAATATTAACTTTATATCATGATACTTAAGCCTTTCTAACTTTACATAATAGCATTTCAGTTATGGGAGATCAGGGTAAGAGTAAATATCACCCAAGGACTTTATATTCGCTTCTGGGGAAAGGGTTAATGCATTTTCAGTCATACACAGGATAGTTCTACCATTAAGACAGAAGTTTGACTTGTTATTGTCTGCTTGGAAATTAGATATGGTTTAGGAGGTACAGATGAGTGACACACTGATAAGAGGTAGACTTGTGACCATTAAATTTAAGTATCAACTCTGCTAGGTCACAGTGCCTAGTTTCGGTCAAGCATGGCATTCAGGATGTTTCTGTGAAGGTGTTTATTTGTTGGATGAGGTTAACATTTAAGGTGGTGGGCACTAGGTAAAGTGAATTACCCTCCATAATGTGGTCAGACCTCATGTGATCAGTTGAAGCCTAAGGCTCCTTTGTACAAGAAAAAATTCTGCCAACAGATTGCCTTTGGACTCAAACTGACTCTTCCCTGAGTCTCCAGTTTGTTCACCTACCCCCAACAGACTGTAGATTCACCAAATCTCTACAATCACATTATTCGACTCTTCAAATGTCAATCTCTTTCTACTTTTCTTTTAGATAAGCAGAGAGATACAGATGTCTATGTGTACATATGTATGCATATATAGACATGTAAGTATCGAATGTGTATACATGTAAACTCCCTCACATCCTGCTGGCTAGGTCTCTCTGGAGACTCTAATATTACAACTTTAACTCATATGTGTTCCTCCCCTTCTGGACTTTACATACATATAAATAAAAGTATGTATATGTAATCTTGTTATTGTTCTTAAGTTGTGCCACATTTAAGTCTTTTCTTCCTAACTAGAGAATAATTTTCTCAAGGACCAGGATCACAGTTCAAAATCATTCGTCTTTCATCAGTTCACAGTTTCTCTTACACTGTGTTTGCGGAATCAGTAAGAACAAGGAGGAGGATACTATGGGAAGGCCACCTAGAACTACCTAGGATCCTAGTTAGATATGGAGAGATCATTCTCTAAGGAACCAGAGAACATGTTGATTTCATTAAGGTTTCCACATGAGAAATAAATTGTAAATCTTTCTAATATGCCCAGTTCAACCCTCTATCTCATCTAAAGTAACGTTTTGGCTCTAAAAGTCATGGTATGGTAACCTTGTGATTAATTATGAACACCTTTTTTTTCATCATTTATGCTCATCAATTCTAAGTGATGACATTCTATGACCCCGCCCCCACCCCCAGTATTCCTCCTAACACTCTCACATAAAATCTTTCCACCTCCAGGGCCACTTACGCCATACTCTCAGGTTCTGCTGCACAAGCACCAACTGCTTTTGTGACATTCACGAGAAGAGCTTGGTTTATTCCAACGAGGAGGTTCACAAGTGGTTGAATGCCACCACACCTCCGGACAAGCACTCGGTTTTCATATTCTTGGCAGCATTCTCCCAAGGCTCCAACTACATTCACAAGTACTTCTTCAGGCTGATCAGTTAAAAGTCCCACCAAGGTTTCAATGGCTTTGTATTCCCGAAACCTAAATTCATTGCAAGAAGGGAGCAAGAGAAATAGTGTTATTAGTAATAGAAAGTTAGTTTATAGTATTAATAGTAGGAATAGTTAAGAGCTAAAAATTGCTAAATGCTGACTACAAGCTCATTCAATCCTTATAAACACCCTAGGATGTAGATACTATTTAATCCCCATTATCGGATGGCTAATCCGAAACATGATCAACAGTAAAGCTGGCATCCTCCCCCAGTCATCCACTCTAGACCTGTGCCCTTCATCACTGTGTAGGACGGCCTCTCAGACAACTACAGGGCCTTCCAAACTGAGCCATTATGAGTCCACATTGTAAAGGGCTCCCTTCCCCATTTTACGGAGACCATTTTTACATGAACAAAGTGTACGAAAGGTTAACAAAATGAAATATATCATTTTGTTTACAAATGCATCAAACGACTTTGTTGTACCTATTTGGGTTTAGTAAGTCTCTCAAAATAAGTAATAGCTTATGCTACTTGGATAAAAACAAATCTATCAACCTGAAATATCTTTGATATTAAATATTAATCCATTCTAGTGTCTCTAACCGTGCAACTTCACTCTAATTTTCACACACAAACATACAGGCTGAAAGAAAGCTTACCATACAAAGGTAGATATTTGGGAATTATTAGTTTCTAATAGAACATTTTCCATTTCTAATAAATTTTGACAGTATTGTCAAGTACCACGAAGCAGTTGAATTTTTATGACTTCTTAACACTAACTTTTCTTTTTTTTTGGAAAGGTTTTTGCTATAGGGTGTGTGCACTTACCAGACAGACAGAGAGAGACAGACAAAAAGTGAGAAATCACCCCCAGGGGAGATAGCCACGCCATAATCCCTTCTCCTCCATTCTCCTCTCGGGATCTTGGGCACACACACACACACGTCTGGCGTGAGTTTAAGCCACCAGGTCCAGGTCTCGAACCACGGTCAACTACATGGGAGTTCAGCGACATAGCCATTACACCACTGCTGGTCCCAACACTATCTTTTAATTAAGAAAAATTTAATCAGCTAACATTACTTTTGAGCTGGTGATCGAAGTAATGTTAGGTAAACTTATTTTGTGTTAGGACATGTGAATTTCTTATTAATAGAAGTCATTAGATGAACCAAGGAGGAGTTGCTTTAGAATATTCATCACTGAGTGTATAAACTCCAAAATATACACTGAGATAAAATTGCAGATTAAAATAAAAATATATTTTATAAATATCTCTATAAAGTTTACAAATACTTTAAAATAAAAGTTGATAAAATCATGTTTGAAAACAACTGCTTTTTGAGAGTAACTGTGTGGCCAGGTTCCTAACAGGCCACGAACTGGTACCACTCCATGGCCTGGGAGCTGAGACCCCTGCCTTAGCTCTACCGAGACAGAGAAAAGGCATTACCAGGGTGGGGTGCGAAGGAGGGCCTTTCATTTCTATGAATCCCTTAATTGCATCAACTTAATCCAGAACAAACACCTAAGAGTAACCTTAGAATCAACTCTTTACTAAAATAGCATTAAATTACAAGATGTGTTTGGCGGCCATTGTTTCATTACAGAACTTTGATAGTCTTCTCTTACTTAGTCACGTTCTCTTTGCTGATGGAACACTTCCATATTGCTCCTGTGACAGCAGCTAACCGTTCTTTATTGTCAGTGTTATTGAGCAGACTGGCCAGGGGTTTGAGTCCTCCGTGCAGCCTAACCAGATCCCGGGTCTCCTCATCTTCAGCACACTACAGAAAACATCAAACCAGAGGGAATCAGTGAGCAAGGCACATCACACTTCCAGCAATTGCTAGAGAGGCCGTTATTCCAGTAGCTGCGAAACTTCTTTTCAGGTACAGTCATTTTCTGGGGGTGCCTCCAAGTAAAATACAATCCTCCTCTATTCTGGCAGTATCTAACAGGATGTCTTTCCCCTTCCATGGTGTTGGGGATGCACACCAGTTTCTATGTACTTGGCAATTCTCCAAGCCAGTTCTGAGGCAGCCTGGGCTTCTACTGAGGCAGAGGCAGAGATCAGAAAGAAACCCAGATGCCCCATGCCTGGCCGAAGGATTTCTGGAGTGATACAACCCAGAGTCTTGGCAAAAGGTAGGAGAGAAGAGAGATGAGTGACAGGAATTTGGTCAGAGAGTCAACGAACCCTGAAATGTAGAGATGAAGAACTTCCCCGACAGTGCCCAGAGCAGAGGGTTATGTCAACAGTACCTGACATTTTATGCAGACATATTTATCCACATACGTATCATCCATAGAAACGAATATTTACTGCATAGAAATTCCCAAGTGATCCTTCTTCTCGGGTTACACAGTCAGCAGGTGATAAATTTAGTATAGACCTGGCTGTTATCCTAAGCATACATTTGTCTTTTATGTGATGCAGATGCATATCACGCACCATCCATGAGGGCCACTGGAAGAAATCCTTATCCTAGGACACCACGGACACACCTGCCATGTTTACCGTCTAAGCATGACTTCTGATTGTGGTTCCGTGGTAATTTTAAAACTTAATCTGTTTCTAACAGACTCTTAATGGTTATTCATGTGAAGTATTATAAGCAAGTCACGCCTATACAAAGCAGGTACAAAAAGTATGTGGAGAAATAAAATTGGAGTACAAATATACTTTGGTGCAAAAAATATTGAAACTCACACATACTTTTTTCATAATACACATTTTACCTGTACTTTATGAAGACGTCTCATATATCCTCACTATGGGCTGAGCTGAGTCCCCTCTAAATCAGTATGTCAAAGTTTTAACTCCCAATAACTCAGAATGCTACTGCAGTTGGAGGAAGGGTCTTTAAAGAGGTAATTAAATGGGCCAGCAGAGGGTGTGATGGTTAAGGCGCTGGACTTCCACATGGCTGACCACAGTTTGGGCCCCGGACCTGGCAGCTAAAAAACCATGCCCGGGAGGAGGATGGGACATGGCAGAGGACGAGGGATAAGGAATCAAGGATGGCAAAACAAAAAACAAAGTATACAAGACATAAGAATTGGAAAATTATTTGCTGAAAACATGTATGTTGATGTGCTTGATTGAGCCAATACACCGTGTATTTTGGATGGAAAAAAATAAAAAATTAAAAAAAATAAACCATGCCCGGCATTTATGTGTATGCCCAAAGTCTCAGGAGGAGAATGAAGTAGAGGGAACTGCAGCACGGCCAGCACTCCCAAGAGAGTCAGGTAATTTCTCACTTTCTATCTCTCTGTCTCTCTTTGTGGTGAGCACATGTGCCTATGGGAAAAATCTAAAAAAAAAAAAAAAAAAGAGAGAGAGAGAGAGAAAGAGGTAATTAAGGCTAAATGGGGTCACCAGTGTGAGCCCTGATCCCAAACAACTGGTGTCTTTTTAAGAAGAGGCAATTAGGACACACACACACACATAGGAAAGAAAGACCATGTGAAGACACTGGAAGAAGAGTGGCCATCTACAAGCCAAAGACAGAGGCTTCAAAAGAAACCAACTCTGGAAGGCAGGAGGTGGCATGGAGGTTAAGGCACTGGCCAGCTACACAGTTCAAGCCCCAGACCTGGGGGCTTGAAAATCATGCTGAGTGCTTGTGTGCATGCCCAAAATCCCTAAAGAAGAATGGAGGAGAAAGGCTTGTGGAGCAACCACCCCTCCTTGCAGGTGATTTCTCACTTTCCCTCTCTCTGTGTCTCTCTTTTTCTCCCTTTGGCAAGTGTCCACACCCTATGGCAAAAGAAATCTTAAAAAAAAAAAAAAAAAAAGAAAAAGAAAAGAAATCAACTCTGCTGGCACCCTGATCTTGGACTTCAAGTCTAGGACTTTGAGGAAATGAATTTCTGTTGTCAAAGCCACCCAGTCTGGGATATCTGCTTATGGAAGACCCAGTAGTCTAATGTGATCCGCTATTGAAAAGAATATCTCCTCAGACTTAACTTTTCCATGCTCACTCTCACTTTGTGCATCTAAGGACATTCTTCTGTGAAATCTGATTGGGTCAGAAGATGGCATGATCAGTAACCAGCCATATGCTCATTTGCCAAGGCCATTCCCCCCTGCACCATCCTAATATATTTTCTGGTATACTATGAGATATTGTGTCGTCAGAAAAGTCACGATGGACAGAACAGCCCTTCTTCAAGAACCAGCTCCATGGCTCCTGCGATCTAGCCATTTTGGGGGAAACGGAGGAATGAAGAGGTCCCACTGATAATTCAGCCTCCAGTATAGAAAACTCGCGTTGTAAGAAGACTCCTCCCAGGCCTCCTCTCTCTGTATCTGTCTTTATCTCTCTCTACCTCTGTCTCTGTCTCTGACTCCTCTTCCTATTTTTTTTTTATTAATTTTTGCTTTTTAGAATTTTGTTTAAGGTGAGGCATCTTTCTGGGCTTGTTGGCCCTGCCTAGCCCTTTATCTTGTTAATAATTCCTTCTCCTACTCCCCACCCAAGAGAGGCAGAAGAAAACAGAACAGCCCTTCTTCAAGAACCAGCTCCATGGCTCCTGAGGCAAGTGCGCCACACGGTTTTCTAATTTTTGGGTTTTTTTGAAATATTTTGAATATTAATTTTTCTTCTTTTTTAGTTTTATTTAAAAGTTTTTCTCTTCATTGTTTTTCTCTTTTTCTTTATTGTCTTTTTTTTTTTTTTTCTGTTGTTGCTTTTGTTTCCCTCTCTCTGTTTCCTTTTCTACACACTCTTCGGCCCTCAGATTGAACTTCCAAGTTTGGGACGAAATCGACCATCCACGAGATGACTAGAAATCACTGCAGGACCACAAGAAATATGGGGAAGCAGGAAAA